AGTTGCAACAGCATTTGACATCATATCTCTCTTGAGTATGCCATTGGAGTCTCTTTCCAGCATCAATTAAAGAATGATTTTCAAGTGGAAAAGGCTTTATAAGGGCGGTCACTAAGCAATTTGATAATGCAGTAAAACTCAGTCATAAGATGTCCCATGAACTTTGTCTCTCTTAATCAACTGACGAGGAAAAGTCTGTTCCATGTAGGCATTTGTCTTGTTTCTCAGGTTTTCTGTTGGTATTACAGTAATTCATCAAACAATAGCACTTTAAGTGCTTTTTTATGAGCCAATATATGTTGATAAACAACGCTGAATAACGAAATCATGAATGCTACTGCAACTACTGGCCATGTCTAGGCTGTTCTTCAATGCTTTATATAATTAAGTGACAACAGGATTGGCAAGTTAAACAAGAGTAGATAACAGTAAAAATGATTGTGCAATGCACTTTAGATGCGTTATACATATAAATCTATTCATGTACAGCAAATAGCATACCTTTCATGATTAGTTGGCATCATTACTTCCTAACTAGCATACCTTTCACTGTTTTTCTTCTCTTTATTTTTTTTTGCAGCAGGGGAGGGTGGGATTTAAGAAGCAGGGAGGGGATAGGGGGATTAGAACACAGGATCTCTAATTTTTGGAACCTCAATCTTAGCCACACTGTTTGTCTTCTCAGTTTCTTTCTTTGTCAACCTAATGACTGAAAAAGAATAAGTTATGCTCTTAGTGCACATAGATTAATAATGAAGAAAGTGCAAAATAACGCTCGTATCAATTCAGAACAAGAAATGTTAGATGCAGAAAGGAAATAGGTATTCCTTCTGTGACTGATCTAAAAGAATGTTCCCAGAATCTCGTAATGTTTTATAGTGCATTGGTTTTTTTTTCTATTTCCCCTTCAGAATGAATAGTTGCTACATTGTCTCTGGTTGATGTCGATTTTTGAGAACTTGGTATGGATTTGTCATTGTGTCTAGAAGGTAAAGACCAGCCACATAATGTCATGCTATAAGATGCCTCAAACGAAAGGCAAGTCAAAAATGCCTGACCAAACTACCCTATACAGAGTTCCTACAGTGTATGGTCACATAGTTGTACCCTTTGAGCATATACTTCTATTCACATTTCATCCAATGAGCCTGTTTCTGCAAAAGTTCTGTAGGTTTTACTCCTTTTTTGTTGCAAGTGATGGAAAATTCTAATCTTTATTGGTGATATTCATTCCTAGAAGATTCAAACACAATGTTACTGGACTTAGTAAAGGACATCTGGTTAAAGACTAGAAATTGAGATATATTCTTAAGAGTCATGATGTTCAGTGCTTTCTTTGACTTGAGCTCCTTTTCCTCATCGCATAGATCAGTAAATGGATAAGTAGATGTATACCCAATTAGGAGTAAAACTGGATACTGATGTTTGAACTTCCTGCAGTGCATGTCACAGTTACTATAGGCTAATCGCGGGCATTTGCCTGATATCCTGCAAATTTTTTGTAGGAATTAATCACAATCAATTAACTGTCCCGGTTTGACCAAAACAACAACAACAACAACAACAACAATAATTACAGTCTGTTTAACAGCTTCTAGAGAAGCATTGGTCCTTTGTTCTGCTTCTTAATGGTCAGGTGCAGGAGTTGCAGCTATCTTAAAATTTTGAGTCCTTGACTGCATTAATTTAGATTCAAATGCAATGTGGATATAGTTAACTCTACATCACAATGACGACCTTTGTAAGAGGAAGTGGAGATAAAGTGCCGCACACAAGAAGCCACATTTTTGTATGACATTGACCTTTGGATGCATCACAGAGGAAGTTCTGGGAGTAGACTCCATTACAAGGTCAGAGTTGGGGCTATTCGATGTCATTAAGAGCTAACAAGACCAACATTCGCTGACTAGATATACACGTTGCTTGCTTATATTTAAAATATCCTTACCAATGTCTACAAATTCATTATAGTTTCAGAATGAGTTGCAGCTATCTTAAAATTTTGAGTCCTTGACTGCATTAATTTAGATTCAAATGCAATGTGGATATAGTTAACTCTACATCACAATGACGACCTTTATAAGAGGAAGTGGAGATAAAGTGCCGCACACAAGAAGCCACATTTTTGTATGACATTGACCTTTGGATGCATCACAGAGGAAGTTCTGAGAGTAGACTCCATTACAAGGTCAGAGTTGGGGCTATTCGCTGTCATTAAGAGCTAACAAGACAAACATTCGCTGACTAGATATACACGTTGCTTGCTTATATTTAAAATATCCTTACCAATGTCTACAAATTCATTATAGTTTCAGAATGATGGGCATGAGATGCAAGGTTGATAACCTTCTATTTGATTCCAATGACTTGGACTTCTCTAATCTTTCAACAGATTGGCTGCATTGAACTCGTCTCCCACTTCATTTCAGCTTAAGAGTAGGAAACTATCTATATATACCAGGGCTTAAGATCATCTGATACCCAACTCCTGCCAGAGGTGGTTAGTACCCCCAAGAGCCAATAATGTCTTGCTGGAAGTTTTTCTTGTGTCTTGCCATTGCCATTTTTCTGCTTTTGGCAATGGGGTCAGAAGCTCGGCCTCTTTCACCATTTCATCACAGAGTGAAAATAACCGAGCAATTCCGGGCATTTTTTGACAGAAGGAAAGTACTAGAGGAAGATTATCAATTTGACAGCAGCAGTGAAGGTCATTACCAGCCTGCGCGTTCCAGTCCCGGAGGACCTGATCCCTACCATCACTTTTCAAATCCCTAGTAACGTACTTTTGGCGGAGTGAAGAAACATTCTTTCTGAAGTTAGATCAGAAGATGTGCTATAATCCTTCTGCATGCACATCCACTGTTACATGATTTTGTTTTGATAATAAGAATGTGCAATGCATGTGAACTTTGTTAAATTGTTTTTATTAACCTCTTCATAATAAAAATAGCATTGTCACTTGTGGGACTTTATGACATATGACTGAACTAACTAAAGAGTACATGCTTGCCAGGAAAGTAGTACTTAAAAATGTGATTGTTTATAAATGATCATCAAGTTGGTGCAGGTACGTTTCAGTTTCTTATATCTACACTCACATGGCTAACTGTAAAGTCAGCAAGAAAAGGTAATAGTTTGCTTTCGGAAGTTAGGATAATGATAATGAAATGGAAGTCTACTGTCCATCTGATGCATGAAAGACACCTTTCTTCTTCTTCTTCTTCTTCCAAATAGAGGGCGTGCTTGAAAAGCTCTCGAAGCTTATGAAGTTTGATACAATATTAAGTACTTTAGTACCACCAGGCAGCATCCGGAAGAAGGTACCTCTTACCATTTAGATGAAATTATGGTCACTGCAATAAGGCATCCATGCAGCAGAAGTTGGACCAAGAATATTAACCGATCTGCAAACATTTAAGAATGGCAGAGGTTTTCCAAATTCGCTTGAGTGAGTGTATAAATTGTAATAAAGCCAGCAATTTAACAACTCAGAAGCAACATTTTATGATGAATCGCCATAACAAAGCAGTTGAAGGTGGAAGCTTTTGAATAGTCTTCTCCAACTGTCATTAACATTCACCCACAACGAAAAAAGAAATCCATTTTACTCAGATAAGATACCAAATAAAGGCCTTGCAATTTGTTTATCTTAAATTTATGCGCAAATGGTTATTTACTCAGTTTTCATTAGCAAGTCACTATTCTTACAAGGAACCTCAGATTAGACACTTAATACATTCTGTATTTTGTTAAAAAAAAAAGGAATAATAGAGCACAACATAGGTTAGTTTTTACAATTAAAATACTACATCCAAAATAAAACTTTAGGTTTCATGCCAAATTTTTAAAAGGGATTCACCCAGAAAAAGAATAAAATATAGGAACTGAATTACTCATAATAAGTTTAAGGGATAATTTCAGAAACCTCTCCTGAGATTTCTGACAGTCTCACTCTCCTCCCCTGTAGTTTCAAAAATATCACAAATCTCCCCTGAAGTTTAGAATTTTGTAACAAAATCAGCCCATGATGTCAAAAGTGAACATAAAAAAGTGTTTTCAGGACAGAGAGGGAATTTTGTTTCCATAAATGCCCCTGAGGTAAGTGCACAAGTTATATTAGTGAAATAATGAAAACTAATAAAAATAAAAAATAAATTAGAAAAAAGGGATATTAAATCAACCATTAGTGCTTATGAGAGTGCATTACATATTTAGTGGAGAGATAGTTTACTTCAATAAGTAGCATGTATATAAATATTTAGTGAATGTACAATCTGATTGAAATAATGCATATTGTGTTATCGACCAAGTACGATGCATATAAATTGTTGAACATGCAGTTATTTGTTCACATGCATATTGCAATTAGTCACTGCAACAATATGCATAGTGCAATGGTATGTATACATTTGGAATAGTTATTGATACTTTGACCTACTTGTGCATATCCTTACAAGCTGCAGTGGGTATGCAATTTTATCTATATGACTAATACTAATTTGCTTATAAACACCTTACACGGGGTGATCTATGAGGTACAATCAGTTTACAAATATATACATTATATTAGATGTTAGTTACTTCACTGTGTATATTTATAAAAGGTAGTGTAATGGTACGCATAAATTTGGAATTGTTAGGTGTTAAAAAAATATACATCATGTTAGGTATTAGTTATTTGACAATGTATATATATAAAAGGGAGATTAGATATAGCGTAGAAAAAAATAATTACGTGAGTTGGAATGTATTTGTCCTGATAATCATGAAATATTAGTTGACTTGTGAGGGTATTTAAGTCTTTTTGGCCATGATGATGTAAGAAATGAGACCTAAATTCTGACAGGGGAGGTTTGTGATATTTTTGAAACCACAAGGGAGGAAAGTGAGACTGTCAGAAACCTCAGGGAAGGTATCTGAAATTATCCCTAAGTAGCAATTAAGTAGCCGGTTCCTCAACGCAGTAAAAATAGGCATGCCATTTTATTGTTAAAGCTTAAAGCCTCTGCTGCATGAGAAAGACAACTTCAATTGCATCAAAGAATTTACCACTATTTTGTGGAATTACTCACCTCTGTTCCACTGAGAAGCTTTATCACTCCATTTCCTTCCAAAACCAGCATCTTCATCAACATTTATATGGAGAAAATGTCACACACCGGAGACTCATTGACCTACTTCAAGAACCCACAAGGGTTCAATCAGTCAACACAATCAAAGCCTTCCATGCACTCACAATTACAATGGGTCCAAACCCTACAGACCCCATTGTTCTTTACAATAATATCATCTCAAAGTACGCCTCTTTGGGTGAAGTTGTTACAGCTCGTAAATTGTTCGACAAAATGCCGCAAAGAAATGTTGTGTCGTATAATACTATGATCAAAGCTTATAATCGAAATGGTATTTTGGAGGAAGCCTGGAAGTTGTTCTGTGAGCTGAGAATTTTAGGATTGAAGCCTACACAATTCACATTTGGCGGCATTTTGTCTTCTGCTTTGATGAATCTTGTTCAAGGGTTTCAACTGTTGGCATTGATTGTAAAGAGTGGATTTTTACATGCTGATGCAATTGTTGGTACTGCATTATTGGGTGTGTTTGGGAGTCATGGATGTTTAGATGAAGTCACTCGGGTTTTAGAGGACATGACCATAAAGAACTTGGTGACATGGAATTGTATGATATCTCTGTTTGGGCAGCAAGGATTTGTTACAGAATCAACTGAGATGTTCCTTGAACTCTTGAGAAGTGGAGTGGAATTGTCTCAATCAACTTTTGTAGGTGTTTTAGCTGGTTTTACTGGGGAATTTGACTTGGAACTGGGAGAGCAAATACATGGCTTAGTGGTCAAGTATGGGTTTGAAGACTCAGTTTCAGTGGCTAATTCTTTGATTAATATGTATGCCAAGTGTGGGGAGATGTGCTCAGCGGAGAAAATGTTTGAGGAGAATGATGTTAAGGATGTTGTATCATGGAACACTATCATTGGAGCAATGACAAAAAGTGATATGCCAGATAAAGCATTTTCAATCTTTTTGCAAATGTGTGGAAATGAAACCTTTCCTAACCAGACGACATTTGTGAGTGTTCTACACTCCTGCCTTTGCCTGAAGGACCCATCATATGGCAAATGTATTCATGCTAGGATAATCAAGAGAAATTTGGAATCTGACGTATATGTTGGCAGTGCGTTGATTGACTTCTATGCAAAACATGACATATTGGAAATTGCCCTTCTTTGTTTTGACAAAATATCTCATAAGAATTTGGTTTGTTGGAACTCTTTGATGGCGGCTTATTCAAATAGAAACTCTTCTGTTGCCCTTCTGCTACTCCGAGAAATGTTTCACTGCAGCTATCGCCCTAATGAGTTTTCTTTTTCTAGTGTTGTTAAATCATCTGTAGCCCTAGAGGTGCAGCAGCTTCATTCACTCATACTAAAGATGGGCTATCATGATAATGAGTACGTATCCAGCTCTCTTATCTGCTCATATGCCAAAAATGGATTTATAGATGATGCCTTGAAATTTGTGGATGCTAAGAGTACACCAATTTCTGTAGTCACGTCCAATGCGATTGCTGGTATTTATAACAGAACCAGGCAGTATGAAAAGACTCAAGAACTATATTCTGCACTTGAGGAACCTGATATTGTGTCTTGGAACATCTTAATTGCAGCTTGTTCTCGAAATGGTGATTATAGAGAAACTTTTGATCTTTTTGATCATATGCAGAGAGCTAAGATAAGACCAGACAATTACACTTATGCTAGCCTCTTTAATATCTGTACCAAACTTTGCAACCTTGCTTTGGGAAGGTCTCTTCATGGTCTGGTTTTTAAGACTGATATTAAATGCTGTGACACGTTTGTCTGCAATGTCATGATTGATATGTATGGAAAATGTGGAAGCCTGGAGTGTTCATTTAAGATTTTTAATGAAATGACAAACAGGAATGTTATTACATGGACTGCTATTATTTCAGCCCTTGGATTACATGGTCATGCTCATGAAGCACTACAAAAGTTCAAGGAGATGGAGGCGGAGGGCTTCCTGCCAGATAAGGTTGCTTTAATTGCTGTTATTTCAGCATGCAGGCATGTGGGATTAGTAAAAGAGGGGTTGGAATTATTTGAGAAAATGAAACTGGAGTATGGAGTTGAACCAGAAATGGATCACTACCTCCTGGCCGTTGACTTATTGGCTAGATATGGCAATCTAAGAGAAGCTGAAGAGTTAATTGCTGGGATGCCCTTCCCGCCAAATGCACTTGTTTGGCGTAGCTTTCTTGAAGGCTGCAAGAGAAAAAGAACCACACATAATGTGGCCCTTCTCATGTAAATAGCCTTGAGCAAATGAGTTGACATTCTACTCTGCTTACACAGAGATCAGTGTGAGGTAATTGTATTAGCATGCAAGAGGTTGTTTATAGAAGTCTTGAAGTACTTCAATATCACAAATGGGTCTAAAATTATACAAGTCAAAGATAATGAGCGTAAATCCATATATTGGTGAAATTGATCTGCCCTCTTCTGGTTGACAGATTTGACTTTTCTTTAGTTTGTGTCACTGTGTTCCTTTCAGAATTTGATCCTTCAGTAATGAAGTTAGAAGCAAAATAAGGCTTTGATCCTCTGCAGTGTTTTGCCTCCTTTTTATAAACCACTTATGCAGGACGAATGCACATGGTCATTGAAGGGAGTGCTCTTGCGTCCACTATACCCTTTCCCTTTTGTTGTTTGTTGATATCCTTTGCTTGCATCCTTGTTCATTTAGTGTTTGCTTGTTTTTAGTCTTTCTTTTTTTTCGTTTCCATTTTTTCCAGCCCTCTGAACCTTGGGCCTTTTCTTTTTAATAATTTGTTCTAGAAAATAGTTATCGTCCTCTTAAAGGCATGAAAGTTGGAATTTATACTTTATCTTTTGTCCTGTCTATCCGTTTGACTCACTGATTTGTTAATGTTACTGGTGATGGCAACTCAGATTTGTTACTGTTGCAGTCATGATAAACAAAATGGTCGCCTCCAAATGAAATATGCTATCCCATGACTGCTGGAGGGACAGAGCAAATCTGAGGATGATTATTGACCACACTGAGTGGTGGGAAGAAAGAATTTAGTTCTAGCTTATCACGAGGTTTGGCAGAAAGCACTCCGTTTGTATTACTAGATTGGGAAATAAATTTGGTCTTTGGACTTGGTAGATACAAATCTATGACAAGCAGTTTGTGATGCTGAAAGCACTAGTGTGCAAAATCATTATCAGGATGATGACAATAGGATAGACCATCTCCTAGCCATCCCTCAACAGTGTCATCAATTTCTGATAACAAACCAACTAGAAGATGTCCACTTTGAGTGGCATCATTGTGCTTGAAAATCTTTTAGACTATTTGGTCTCCTCTGAATAATTGATGGCCTCGTATTGACTATTGAAGCCGCCAACTTATCCTGTCCCGTGTCTGCTTGGTCACCTTTAAGTAGTCCATTCAAATTTGGTTACTATCTTGAACTTCAAATGTATTTAGGTAGTCATTTCTTCAGCATCTTTGCCAGCATAACGGAGATGAAAACATCAGCCACTTATCATGACCATCAAGGAGTGAGTCAGCGTGATCTATGATGCTTCGCATTTGTAGTTTAAGCAGAAAAAGTGGAGTCATAATTTTCTGGCAACGCTTATTTCAACGTATAAGGCTCTTCATTTAGGTTAAGAAGTCTGCATGGCAGTTTGTTATTACAAATCAAATTAAATAAACAGCACACTTGACATAAATATAGAAGTGTCACTAAATTGCTACTGAAAAAGTGACACTGAGGATCCGGTACGGTACTCTGGTTCTTTGTGAGGATTGACATTGGCCTGGAGTTGGAAAGAAACTTGCACTTTTTCGGTGCTCTTTATATCCTAGTAGACAAATATAGGTTTCACTAACGGGTATCCAAGGGGCACTCCCTCAGAGAGGCCTCGAGTGTAATTATTTACTAGAGTATTGTTAATTTGTAGGGCTATCAGTCGGGCTTTGTGAGTCAGATTTTGACAAATTGAAGCTCACTCACAAAAGAAATAGAGCCTTTGAAATTTTGGGCTTTCGCACTCAGATTCATATTAAGACTCAAATCCTGTTTGATAACTCGATTTATTACTTAAATCAAATGGATTCAGATCTTAACATAATTAGATGCGTTTAATAATAAAAAATACAATATCTGAATTAATTAAAGTCACTAAATTTACTAATTAAAACTTATTTCTAAAAATAAGTGATAAATTATTCACTTATCACTAATGTGATATATACTCGAATATATTATACATATTTAGGGTACATGTGATAAAACTAAAATCTAAAATATGAAGTTTAAATTCAAGTTTGAAAATTGAAATTTAAAATATGAAATTTGATGTCTGAATTCATTAAATTACTAAATTATTGAGTACAAAATCTGATACATTCGAATGTATATTACATTAAGTGATAAGTAAATAGCTCATTACTTAATTTTGAAGCAAGTTTTGCCTAAAAAATTCAGTGCCAATTAATAAATCCAAATGTACTATTTTTTTTGTTATCAAACGCATTTGAACATATTAAGATCTGAATCAATTAAATTTAAATGTTAAATTGGGTATCAAACAGGGATTTAGTACTTAATAATTCAGTAATTTAATGAATTCAGAATTCAAATTTTAGTTTTCATATTTCAAATTTATCAAATGCACCCTTAGTTTGGAGATTGAGATTTGGAGAGAAAAGAAGAGAGAAGGAGGAAAATTCAAAGTTTAATTTAAAGTTTTTCTTGTTTGGGAGTTTAAGTGGGAAGAAGAGAAAAGAAAGTGGTAGGAAATGGAGAGATAGATTGGTTGAAAAACTTTCCTCTCGAATATGGGAAGAAAAGTTTCACTTAACCTTTTAAACATTTTCAAAATGCCAACTTTTATTCATAAAATATTAAGCAATAAACCATAATATCGATTGTGTCCAAAATCATTCTTCTCGTTCCTAAACTCTCAATCAACTTGAGAAGAAAATTATATATTTTCTCTTCTTTTCTTTTACAACTTATCCTCTCTTTTCTTTTCTCTCCTCTCCTGAACTCCCAAGTTAAGCCGAAAGGATTCATACTTGACTCACAAATTAATTAGAGCATCGGGCTTAAATTAGGTTTGACCAAAGTTCACTATTAAATACATAATTATATAAAACATATGTTTAATATTTATGTATTGTTATATGACTATATATAAATTGTTAATTTTTTACGTTATAATATACTTAACTATAAATTATACACATTATTGTCTATGTTATAAATATTTAAACAAATTATTACTTGGATCGGATTTTAACCAGATCGAGACTAATAAGGCTCAGGTTTGGCTCACATTTAAATTTTACTCTATAGTTATACCCAAATTCTATTAGACCCAGTTAAGCACGAGATTTCGCCTTAATTTCTTCCTAAATGAGTGGGTTGAAATCAAACTGATTCCGTCCCATTGACAATCCTATTAATTGAGAAAGCGTTTAAAAACTGTGGATGCAATAAATATGAGGTGTGGATCTCTATGTTAATTTTGACGTAAATCGGGTGTATGCTGTCTAGAAAAATCCTAAAAATTCTGTTTTAGAGATATGGTCTTGAAATTGATTGTAATTTTTATTACAGAAGAAATTATGGCATATGCATAAATCCTTGCTCAATCAATACAATCTTAAATTCCTCCATTTAGGCAATCTTCGTCCTAACTGATCAAAACACAAAGGAAACCCCGTTATAAAAGGTCACCAGGAGTACCTGTTACATCAAAATTCACAATAGTATTTCATCTATTAAGTACGAAAAAAAAAATGGCTCCTCATCATCAAATATCCAAAGCAACAACGTTAATCTTTCTAATGATGCTTGCTCTTTGTGCATTTCCCACGGGCTTGAACGCACGAGTTCTGTTGCAGAAGAAGGATGGTGAAATTGACAGCACAACTACGTTTCAGAAAATGGGCTTTGATCTCTCGGCTTTGAAGGAGGAGATGACGAGTGGAAGATTGTTGAGAGAAGTACCCGGTGGACCAAATCCTCTCCACAATATTGTTCCACCAGTACAAGCACCACCAAAACGATCATCAACAATCTCTTCAGACAACTAGATGTATTTGCAATTAAGGCATATATGCATGGTTGTGTCTTGCATGGATTTGATGTTCTGATGCCACTTACTGTAATGGTCTACATATACATTTATTCCAATAAAATTGTTCCAAAATTGCAACAAAATATGTGTTTGAATATCAATGGCTACCAATTTTAACTTTTTTTTTTTTTGGCTTTTCCCTAAGTCGTATCTCCTAAATAATCTCAGATTTTCAGTTGATAAGTTCAATTGGTTTGTCATTGTTCGATTTGTTTTAAATGCTTCAAGACATAAAAAATTGTTAAGTGCAATGCTAATTTTCCACGGAAGTATAAGGATGTTGTACTTGTGGGGATAGCGAGATAGGTAGTCCATCATCACAAGCAAAATAAAAGGGGTCCGGATTTTAGACCAGGACTGTCAATGGGATCAGGCCATCTCGAACTCGGCTCAAAAAAAGATTTGATGAACCTAACCTTTCATTGAGTTGGGTTGAGGTTAGACCTAAATATTAGGTCCAAATTAAATGTGAACTGAATTTGAACTTTATTAGACTCAAATTCGATATAAGTCCGACCCTCTAATCTGCATCTATGTATAATTATATATAATATATTCATATTTTGATATATATATATATATATATGTGTGTGTGTGTGTGTGTGTGTGTGTGTGTGTGCGTGTGTCATGTGTGTCAAAATATATTAATATATAAGAAATATTAAATATACAAAATTATATCAAAAATTTCAGAAGGATGAATTTTAGTACAAGCAAACTGAGGACTTTTGAAAATGTAATGACGTTGATCATATTTTATTATTATTTTTCATGTACTTTGAACTAATTGGATATATTATTGTTGAAAAATTCTTAGTTTATATACTTTTTAATAAACTATTACTGGTTTGTATATAGTTTTAATATTGTGGTCCTGTGGATGTTAAATTATCTTTAGAACTTAATAGGTATACTAATTCTATCAAGTAAATTAAGGCGCAACACATGAGTTTGGTTTAAATCCGAATTATGCTCACATTTAAATATTTTGTAAGTTGAATATGAATTTCACATTTATCAACTTGAAACTCATAATTCGAAACCTGTAAGTGATACTAACTATATGAGTCAAGTCTAAACTGGTTAAAACTCAACTCAGATGGTCTGATTGACAAGCTTATTTTAGATGCTCATAAGAAGTGGGTGTGCTTTCGTGCGTCTTTCTGCGGAAGTGTATGCAATTTAAGGATGAATAATAATTAACACATGGACTTTTTTTTTTTGTTTTTTGGGTGTGATTATCGTGTACTTGTCCACCATCAAATTAAAAAAAAAAAAAATCAAAGGAACGAGTTAACACAAGAAAAGGCCCAATCATGCCAAGAGAATGCACTAACACTTCTGATTTGAATCCTCAATCTATAATCAAGAGGACAATGTGTGATCAATTTATCTTTGACAAGTTAATTACTCCGCAAGAGCTTTTACTGCTCTGAACTC